ATGAATTGGATTTTCAAGTTCATGGGTCAATTTTGGACCCTTAACTTTGAAAATACATAATAATCCATGCACTTAGAATTAGATGGTATTTCTTTATAGTGTGTTTATATGTATGTCAAGATTAGTTTACCTTTGATTTCACTCGATTCCAATAAGTGTAGCTCCTAAAATAAATCACCAAATGAATAGATATATTTAGCTTTGGTGATTGATTTTTCGACCTAGAGGGGCTTCATTTGAGACCAAATTTAGTGGGTTTGAAGCACATGTATTTATTTACCTAAATTTCAAATTTCATTACATTTGGAATCAATTTGGTCTATCATGAAGTAAAACCAAGATTCATATACATAATTGACCTATGATATTTGAAAATTCACAATAAATTTATTTTAACTCAAAAATTATATAAAATTTATCAAGATGGTCATAATTAAAAGCTCAATAGGAAAATTAAAGCCCCCATAAAATTCATTCAAAATAAAATTTAATTTAAAAATCAAGGAAATTCAAAATTAATAAAATAATTAATTAAAAATACATAAAAATTATCAAAAAAATTTAAACACTTGAAATCATCCATATAGGTCATTTTTAATATTTAGGAAAGATTTTAAGAGGTTTAGAGTTGATTTGATACTAAAATAAGAAAATGCCTCTAATTAAGCAATTAAATAAATATAAAAATGCATAAAACTTAAATAATTCATAATTAATTTCAAAAAACTACAAATTGAGCAAACTTAAAAAAATTGTAGTCATATGTAGGTCTAATATTTATGAAAATATAAAATTTCAAAATTCGTTGCAAATTAAAAAGTCAATGTTTGGGTCAAACTTAATACATAAAATACACTAAACTTATAAAATCTATAATTAATTTTAGAAAAAATCTAAATTCAGTAAACTCAAAGGCATTTGACTTATCCCTAGGTCTATTATTTATTAAAAATATAAAAATTCTAGAAAACAATATAAATAAAAAAGTTAAGGAATGGACCATTTGTTAAATGCATTAAAATATTCACTAATATGAAAAAGTAATAAATCATTAAAACTTATGTAAATCATTAATCCAATAAAATTAAATTAAGAAGCAACCAACGTTCCTGTCTTTGAAGTTTTTAGGCTGGACTATCTCGAGTTGCAGGGTTACATGGCCTAAGGAGGCCTTGGTCCTCATGCCTGTTGTGACAACGTGATGAATGAATTTGACATAATATAAATATTAAAATTACAAATTTAATTGATCAATAATCATTTTAATTAAATTAATTTAAAAATTGTTAATAAAATTCATAGACATTATAGCTTCTACACCATTGTGCTTGATTCCTTTCAAGAGGGGAAATGTGTATTGACTTTGAAAGCTTTAAGGATCAAAACATATAATTAAAATAGAAGACTTCATACTATTAATTGACCCATGTCTTGGAGGATTGTCGACATTACATTTTTTAGTCAAAGACATATTGATTTACAACTTTTAGCAATTAGGAGTTATTGAATGCTATATTCTTTAAAACCTAAAGATAAATAACTTGAACAATCAAAACATCTTTAAAAAGAAATTTAAAACCTCTAAATCACAATGGCAAGACATATAGAAAGTTATGGTACTTATGAGGGCTAAGTTTATTCTTCTCATGCAATAGTAGGATGAAGGCATTAACATGATTATTGTCAAGGTATTTATCAAGTATAATTTCATCAACATCAGCTCTAGTAATTGAGATATTCCTAGAAGAAAATATTCGATCTGACCTACAACAAAGAAAATACACTGAAAAACACATAAAATACATTGTAAATACACAACAAATAAGTAGTAATTACTCAATAAAGACGCGGTAAAGACACAACAAAGACGAAAAAAATAGAGTAAATAACATATTTTTATTGAGTTAGCTTACTTGTCAGTGAACTTCTTTAAACATTCTTCCAGAAATAGTTTCTTATCATTACTCAGCTTGTTCCATCCCTTGTATTCCATTATTATAATTGCAGGTTGAGGTAATATTTGAATGTCTTCAAGGTTGATTAGTTCAGCTGGGGCTATGCTCACTATTTTCTTCTTCTTCATATCCCTCCTCTTAAATATTATAATTTTCTCTTAGCTCATAAGCAACATGCTCTTTATTGATGACATGAAGAGCATTTGGTTCCTCTGGGGCTTCCTACTTTATTTAGGGGGGTTTGATGGGTAGAATGAGGTGTGTGGGTGGGGAATTCTATTTTTGCTAATGGGGAGGGTATTTCCTGATGAGAAAAAGGATAAATGCGTGATGGAAAGTTCTGGTTGCTCAGTAGCTTGTCTGCTTCCTCCTGGGTAACTCCTTGGAGAGTAAAAAAAATCTACAAAGATATAATTATTTGCAAATCTTCATTCTTTTTAGAGGTATTAATTGAAATTTGCAGCATGATAAATCTACATATTGTAACCGTCTTTCCTTTAAATTAATAAATAAATTAGAGGTCTTCACAAAATTATTTACAAAATCGTCACCCCATCGAAAGAAACAAGGCCTTTGGTCAAGGTACATAGAGGCATGAATTGAAGTGTGCTCCAAGAACCAAATTTGCATAATGAAGATCTTAGCAGTCACAAGTAGCAGAGACACAAAACAATTGATATAACCAACTAGCTTGTGCATTGAAATCGTCATGGAGATTTTATTAAGCTCTTAAACTATAAATTCCCTAATGGGCCTCGCTCTGTTAATTGATAAAAACTCATATACATTATTTGATATTGTGTGGAGCCTCCTAGGGGTTTTAAATTTATTAAGTTGGGAAAATAAATTTGAACAAAAATATATAATAATATTTTTAACATAGTGGATGGGAGGTTTATCTGTTCAACTCGAGCATTTCGCTCTTTATAAGCTAGGAGATCTCTTCACCTCTATTTGGTAGATTGGTTAGAAGGTTCACTTCATTAATTATCAACGGTGTAGCATGACCCTTTATTATATAATATTATTTTGAAATATCCCACAGTTTGAGTAGCTCATAAATCAATGGGATATTCTACTCGAGAACATGGAATTTCAAAAATTGATAGATGTTTAATCTCTTTAAGATTTCCTCCTCATCAAAGTATATTATCTCCACAAAATTGGTAGATTTTTTGGAAGATTGATACATATCATCAAAAAGTAAGAGGCCGAGCATACGCCTGAAAAATTATACAAATAAGCACAAAAGATAAGCAAAAAATGCATAGAAGATACACAGAAGTTATGCAGAAGATACTTAGAAAATATGCAGTAAATACATAAAACAATACACTAAAGACACACAGTAAATACACAGAAAATAACCATCAAATACACATAAAATATGAAGAAAATATGCAGAACATATGCAAAACATACACAATAAATATGCAAAAAATGCTTATAATATACATAGAAGATACATAGATCCTAAACCCTAATACACAGAAAATACCTAAAACCCTAACTAGTAGCAACCAACATGCAGTTATAAAGAAGAAGACAAACTTAAACCCTTAATCCAAAAAAGAGTCGAAAAGGAATAAGTTAAACTTAGAAATTTGTTAAGCAATAAAAATGCAGAACTAAGGTCTCGTTTGATTCGGCTTATTTTCTCAGTTTTCAGTTTGAATAAGTTGATTACCGTAATTTTGTACTCGTTTGAATGCACAGATTAAACATAATTTATTTTGACAAAACATCATTTTTTTAGCAGTTACGTAAGTAAAATTGCACCTGCTTACCCCGTTACAAAAAGGAGTTTTGAAATCACATTCCCGAAATTACCCCAACTACGCACTTCACGCAGCAGTCTCCTCTTTTCCAGCGAAGTTGGGTCCTCACAAAAAAATGAAGGATATTAATGGCTTTTGTCATTCTTACAGAAGCTCGGATTAATTAGCAGGATAACCTTGAACATGAGAAATTAGGACAAAATGAATAATTTTGATATTTCAGCACTTAATTCGTTGAATTTGATTGATTTATGCATTGCTCCTCAATATCAGGAGACAAATTGTAGTTGTGTTAATTTTTTTTAAGAATATCATATGTATATATATTTATATAAAGTTTATTTTTTCAAAATTAAAAAAAAAATTATTTGTATACTTAAATTTGATAGAAGGATAATTTAGTCTTTTATTATGAAATCGCTAAAGCTAATATGAAACAAACATTTAATTTTCGCTTTCAAGTTTTCATAAGCACTTAAGAAGAATGTAAGTCAATCAACAACATATTATTCGAACAACCTTCTATAAAAATAATTTTTGTGAATCTTTGTTTTCAAAACTACATTTTATATAAGCAAAATCCCAACCAAACCAAGCCTAAAATCGCAATTCATAAACAGAAAATACTCATAACCCTAAACCCTTAACCCAAAAAAGAGTCGAAAAGGAATAAGTAAAACATATAAATTTTTTAAGCAATAAAAATGCAGAACAAAAAATGCAATTCATAAGCAGAAAATACTCATAACCCTAACCAGCAGCAACCAACATGCAATTTTAAAGAAGACAAATCCAAAACCCTAAATCCTAAAAAGAGTTGAAAGGAATAAGCTAACTCAAAAATTTTTTAAGTACGAAATAAAAATGCATAACTAAAAATATAGTTCATACGTAGAAAATACACAATTATTACGCAGATCATGCGCATTTATCATGATAAGCAAATAACAAACTAACCTTTTTTGATGGTGAAGCCATTTACATAGATGAAAATTGATCGAATGCCGGAAGGTGCAAGTAGAAGCGAATGCTGGGGTTGCTTTGGAGAAAAAAGAATGTCATAAATTGAGAACTGAATGGACGATTGAGAAGTGAAAAATTTCTGCCATTTTCACTTTTTTACCTTACTGGGTCGGTCGGGCTGATAAGACAGCTCTTTTTCGATGCGAACAATCCATGTATCATAATTTTATTGAAGTCCAAAGAGAATTACATCTGGACTCCGCACAAAATAATTTTTCCCCAGATAGTAGATGAGTTGAGAATAAAAAAAAAACTGTTGCCCTCGACTACTGCCGTCGACATGGAGTTAGTAATATGAAACCTAAAAACCATCTCAGTTACCGTTTCTCCACTACAAAAAAATGGCGATGCTCTCTGCCACCAGCCGCCGCCATTCGCTCCTTCCCCGCATCGTACTCACCCGCCTTTACAACAGCGTCGCCAAATCCGCCGCTGCCGTGAACGCCTCCGATGCTGACGCCACTTCCGTTTCCTTATCTGCTTCTTCACCGCTCTCACCCTCTGCCGCCAAGTCCCTCCTTCTCAAGGAGTATGACCCCGACAAAGCTCTCTCAATCATGTCCTCCGTCACGCACCCCTCTTCTTCCCCCACCTCTAGCCGCTTCGCCGTCGAGCTCGCAGTCCGCCGCCTCGCCACCGCCCGCCGATTCGAAGACGTCGAATCCCTTCTTGAAAAACGCAAGTCCGACCCCGCTGCTGCTCAAGAATCCTTCGTAGGAACCGTCATTCTTGCTTATGGCTCTGCCCGCATGCTCGACCATGCTATCTCCACCTTCGAGGACGTTTGCCGCCTCTGCTCCGCTCCTCCCACCACCATATCCTTCAACGCCCTCTTATCAGCCGCAGTCCGTGCTAAGAAGCACCGCAAAGTTCGCATGCTCTTTTCTGAGCTCTCCGAGAAATATGCCATCTCACCTGATCCGGTTTCCTACAGCGTCCTTGTTAAGGCCTTATGCCTTTCCGGAAAGGCCGGGAAAGCCTTTGATATTCTCAAGGAAATAGAGGAAAAGGGCTTTAAGGTTACAACTTTCATCTACACGAGTCTGCTTGATTCGCTTTACAAGAAAGGTGAATCAGATAAGGCGGAGGAGCTCTGGAATCAGATGACGGAGAAAGGTTGCAAACCAGATTTGGCTACTTACAATGTAAGGATAATGCACAAAGCCCACCATGGGAGTCCAGAGGATGTGCTCAGGTCCATTTCAGAGTTGGAAGCTGCGGGGTTGAAGCCAGATGAGATCACCTATAATTATCTTATGACTTGCTACTCCAGGACTGAGAGATTTGACGAGATGAATGAGGTTTATAAAGGTCTGAAGAGTAAGGGTTGCAAGCCGAATGCAGCAACATTTAAGATTATGCTGAAATTCTTGTGTGAAAAAGGGGATTTTGATGCCGGCTTTGATCTCTTTAAGGATAGTATGAAGCATAATAGGATTCCTGATTTCAGGACACTGAGACCTTTTGTGGTGGGGTTGGCAAAGAACTTCAAGGTGGAGGAAGCGAAGACGGTGATCAGTGTGGTGAGGCAAAGGTTCCCTGAGAGTTTGATTAGTGGTTGGAAGGTGGTTGAGGAAGAGCTGGATTTGATTACAGGTACACAAGCTTCTGATCAAGCCGAGGCTGCTGAAAGCTGAAGTGTTGAAAGGCAGTACAAAATGTTTTCACATATGACGATGGACCGGTCCATTAATTATTCACATACGCTGAAAAATGGTTTGCAGAAAAATCTGAATTTCTCATTTTTATTTGAAGTTGGTATTGCCCAGCTAAGAGGTACAAGGTTTTGTTCTTGCTAAGCCTTTTTCCTTGTTTTTTATATTTACTTATCCTGGTATTGTGGCATTATGATAATATGTTAGTTAGGAAATGTGCCCTTTGGTTTTCTTCTATCGAAGCTTTCACTTAGCTGTAAAAGAATATGCTTGAAATAAAGTTCCCTCTCAAAGTATGCAACTCGATCTTTCATTGTAAAAATTTATGTGCTACAACATGGTATGTGAAACATTTTAATACATCATTTATAATTTCTAGGCGATGTTTAGGTTGGATGGCTTTATTTTTTCTGCCCATTTTTATAATGCTTTAATTTATCTTATACTATTCAATAGAGTGAAGCAATCTTAGAATGTGGTTGAGTTTTTTTTTTTTTGGAAAAACGCTTTTGAAGGAAGTTAATGCTACACTCCTTAAATAAAATCCTAAAAGTTTTAGTATTTTATAGAATTTATGTATATTGGTGATGTAGATGTCTATATGGTGTTTATTTTCTTATATAAAATGAAAAAAAAAAAACTTACATTAATTTTGATTTGGTGCTCAATAGTCAACATAATTTGAGTAAAGTTGCTCTCCATTACGTTGAAATAAAAATTTGATTGAGCTCCGCTTTATTTAGGTAGACTAATCAACACTCTCCCATGTAAAATTTATCTAATCCTTTTCTCATTTGATTGTCTGCCTAGGCAAAGTGTAGCTTAAAATGTCAATCCCATTTTTTTGTGAATTTATTTTTGGTTTTTTAGTGTTTTTTTAGAGATTGCCAAATGGATTGCAATAAGAGACGAACTGTCATAAGCTACAGAGGAATCACTGTAAAAAGCAAATGGTACTAGATAGGATATTTCGGTGAAATAATTTCATGAGGAAAACTATTTTGAGTTTTGTTATTTCTTTTCTAGGAATCATTCTCCCGCAAGAAACAATGTCTCGTGTTAATTGCATCCTAGGCTCTAAAGTTCTAGGAAATCCTTAATTTCGATCAAATATTGATGGGTTGGAATGTTGCACGTTGCTTTTCTTTTTAAATGAATACATGAAACATTGAAATGCAAGATATATGGGATGGATGCATAATCATACTGTGAAATGCATGAGCAAAATGTCTTTTCTCAAATTCAATGCAATATCGATATGTTATTATTGCTCTTTGAGTAATGTATATGAAAAATAATGTGCGATGTGTATAAAATTTGTGATATACATTATACAACAAGGGTATAATCCTTGATCCAAAAGATTAGGATTGACTTGATAGGAGTGCAAGTGACATGCTGGTCTTATATAATAAGACCTAAAGTGTATTAATCACATGTTGTACTCTTTTGTGGCAACAATACTAAATCAAAGGGTACTAAGGACCTGTCACCTAGCATTATAAGGATTACTCATTTAAGGTAGAATCTAAGCCTTGTTAACATCTTTTGAGAGAACAATTTATGTTTTCTTTGATATTCTCCTTTAGGAGGTTATGGTGCTTTTAATTTTTTTTATAAGGCAAAGCACACAAGAGAACTTTGTGTCTAGTTTGGGACATAAGCACAATAGAACTTAGTTATATGGATATTGGGGTTTTCAAGTTACTCAATCATATAGTGAAAAGGGATACCCAAAAAGGGACTTACAAATCCAGGGACTTACAAATCCTATTAGATACTACCCAAACCTGGCTAATGCTAAGGTTGTAGGTAGTGTAGGGTTTATTATTGCCAATCAAATGGGCAAAAGTCTACTATATGGATTACAACAGTGTTAATTGATTGTGGCTTTTACTTTATGCTTACTTTTCATTTGACTGGGATTCCAACCTAATCTTCTTAATCATATTTGTTTTTAACTAATGTTGTTTAAGTTATGTCTCAAATGCGAGATAGGACAATCTATTGTTTAGGAATTTAGTGTTTGCAATTCCATTAACAGTACTCATGCATATGGGAGTGTGAAATGCATCTTATGAAAATTGTTATCTATGCTCGTCTATTAGGCGGTCCTTTGACTATATGTTGGCTCGAGCTTGCACATGAATGTGTCAATTAAGTTTATTGTTGACTAGCTACTCTCTAATGTCCAAAGTATTTAGCCAATTAACATTACAGCTTCCATAGATCTTAGAAGAGAGCAAAACAATTGATTTATTTAAAAAGTGGATTTTGGATAAGACATGCAAGTTTTATATGGGGAAAAATGATTATATCAATTTTAATTGGTTTATTTTATGATTAAATCCTAAAATAGTTTGCTGATTATGCGCATGCGGACAATTTTGTTATAGAGTAAAATGAACACTCATGTAGAAATTTTGATGCAAAATTAATATCAATTTAGTCCCTCAACTATATAAAATTGATTCCAATTTATCTCTGAGCGACCATTTTGGATTGATTTTATATAGTTAAGGGACTAAATCAGTCATATATGTGTTATTGGGGGATCATTTATGATTTAGCTAGTTTATTTTATCTTTGTAGAAATTTATTCCTAAAAACTAGTCATTAAATCAAAATGTAGTTCCAGGAGACCACAATCATTGGAAGCAAAGAAAACAAGCAATCATGTAAATATGCAACCACAAAGAAAATAAAGCTCACATACACTCCAAGGCTTAATGTAGTTGGGTTCTACAATACATCCCAAAAATTGAAAATGAAAAGCAACTGGGCTTTGTTCTACAACCTAGTCCTTGATCAATATACAAATGAATTTGCAAAAGTATAAATATTATTAGCAGCTCTTGCTTCATGCTATCGTAGCACCTTGTGTATTGTACCTCATTTAATATGTATTTCTTAAATCTAAAATTACATTTGGAAAATAAGCTTCAATTCATTCAGTCATTCACTACACACAAATTTCATTAGTTTAGTTTAGCATTTATGCCAAGTAAGGAAATATTTTGGCCTTTTTGACAAATTGTAGTATTTAGCATTTGCGATACTTTTGGCATTGCTTTTATTTATTTAACAGTCTTAATATTTTTCATGTTCATACCTTGAATTAAAAGATCATCCTTTGATTTTTTATTTTTTTAATAAGATTGCAACTTTGCATTAAAAAAGAAGAAACCTAATACAAACTACTAAAAGAAAGCAATCCTATCCCATTCCTCCTTTAACAAAGAAGAAAAATCTTCCATGCCGCCATGCTTAACTTTATTCCTGCTCTTCCAAGAAAAGAAAAAGATAAGCAATACATATTAGCAATAATGGGATTAACATTTGATAATCTTTCCAAAGACTTCACACAATTAGCTAATGAAGAGAATCAAGGAACACGAAATCCCAACTTATTCAGAAGGTCTAGAACTTGAATCAATTGTAGGCAACTTGCAACAATATGATCCGAATTTTCCACAGCAAGGCAACCTCTCGGGCAAACATTATTATCTTCTTATCTTCTGTACATAAGGAACACCTTAGTAGGAATAGCATTCCTAATTAACCGCCACCAGAACACTTCAACTCAAGGATTAAGCTTCAGCTTCTTCATCCAGCTCAATAATTGTCTTCAACCTGTCTTCAAGTGCAGCATTAGAAGCCAATGCTGTGATTGACTTTCCAGAATTTTTAAATTTTAGCTCCAACTAGTCAGCCAAGGAATTAGAACATTTTGGAATTTGCTGAATGAGCTTTACCAACTGTTCTCCAAACAGATTTTTCAACAAATCAACATTCCAATTACTGTCTACAATAAGACTGCTTACTGAATTACCAACAATGTCAAAATCTGCAACAAATGTTGGCCATCTATCAATTCTTCTATCAAGGATCCATACATCATTCAAAATATTAATAGATGAACCTGTAGAAACTCTCCATCTTATAATTGGAATAAGAAATTTTGCACCATCCATCATAATCTTCCATGTAATAGAGCTCCCTCTTTTTGCATCAGATTTCCATAAATCTTGACCGTATTTGGCAATAAGATTTTTATTAAGCATAGAATCTGGTTTGGTAATGAAGTTCCAAGCACATTTTGCTCGCAAAGGACCTACCTTCGAAATGGTTGAATAAGGACCACATCCCCCATTGGTTTTTGATAAACAAAGGACTTTCCAAACAATATAATGAAGGCCATGCTTACCATTGTGCTTATGTCATATAAAGTTTATGCATATTTTATCAAAATCCTTCAATATACCCAAATGAACTAATGAATGAGTTGATAAAAACATAGGAAGAGAAATAAAAGCTGATTTAACAATGACCATTCTTCCTGCTAATGAGATAAACTTGTTTCCCTAAATATTCATTCTTTTCAAAGCCTTCTTCATCAGATTATGAAAATCTGAAACAATTAGCCTTCTCAATGCGATCTTCACCCCAAGGTAATTCATTTCATTCACAACTTTCAAACTCAAACAACAAGAAATAACTTTTTTCCTCCTCTTTTTCACATATTTACCAAACAAGAAAAAAGATTTTTTGTTATTGATCTTTTGAGCCGACCAATTACAACAATCCTTTAGAATTCTATTCACCTTCTTAATGCTTATAATATTAGCATAAAAAAATAAGAATATGATTTGCGTGAAGCAAATGAGACATCCTTTCAGCATTTGGAGAAATTTTGATGTCAAGTTTCTTTCATCTTTGAATAAAAGCATTTGATAAAAGTCGTGAACACATAAAGAATAAGTAGAGGGAGAAAAGGGACAACCTTGTCTAAAACCGATTTTAACTTCAATCCACTTTGAATTATTACCATTAATCAAAATAGAAAATGTAGGATCAACAACGCATTCCAATAAAAATATTAGAGAATTTGACTGGAAAATCGAGATATTGCAAAACCTGTCTTAACGTCGACCAACACATGCTATCATAAGCTTGTTCCATATCAATTTTAACTGCCATAAGTCCTTTCTTAGCTTTAGAAAATCTAAACTTATTGATCAAGTAAAATATGATCAGAAAGAGAATGACCTTTAACAAATGAACCTTTAACAAATGCAGGTTGGTCTTTAGAAATAATTCTAGGAAGAATTAAAGTCAATCTATTTAGCAACATTATGGCCATAATCTTATATATCGATAAACATTGACTAAGAGGACGAAAATTAGAAGGAACCATAGGATTATGAACTTTAGGAATGAGAACTATGAGGGTATCCTTCCATTCGGCACACATTTTAGGAGAAAAATTGGTTAATAGCCTTCCAAACATCCTCATTTATAATGTCCCAATAGGACTTAATGAATGAGTAAGTGATTCTATCCAAACCCGGAGATCTGTAGCTTCCTAGGTGCTTAATGACCT